CCTTGCCTCAGTGGGGTTACACTCCCCCTGAAGGATTGAATGAATGACCGCTTTATTACAGTCACTGAGCAGCAGATATATCCAGATGTGACTGTAATACAAAAACACAATGAAAAGTAGGATAAGGTAGCAGTATAATATCACATGTACACAATGTATTACAATGTGACTAAATTAGATGGAGCCTCCTTAGTTTCACTGGACTGAGGAGTTCAGTAAATAGATTCAGTAAACTCAGTACCACCTCCAGTCTCATCGTCTTAAGTAGTGTAGCAAAGTGGTTCTTAACCTTTGTTACTCAGGTGTTTTTGAACTGCAACTCCCAGAAACCTCAGCCAGCAGAGCTGATGGTGAAGGCTTCTGGGAGTTGCAGTCCAAAACTCCTGAGTAACAAAGGCTAAGAACCAGTGGTGTAGCATAGAATATAGGGTGGCCAGTACACATTATTACTAAAGCATTGCTAAACATCTAGCTTCGCCTTGGTTGGTGCAAGGAAGGAACAGTGACACTTCATTGCTGCTGCACAGAACTTTGCCCCTGCTATGGTTATATCAGACTTTCTGAAGGATTGGCTCTGAAGCTTGGGGCTACTCTTGACCCAGCACACTCTATGAAGGCTCAAGTATCTGCTGTGGCCTGAACTGCCTTCTGTCAATTCAGTTGATTATCCAGTTGTGCCCCTGCCTGAGTAGGAAATGCCTAGCAATAGTAGTTCACACATTGGTAATCTCAAAAATAGACCACTTTAATGCTTTCTATTTAGGGGCTGCCCTTGAAAACAGTATGGAAACTTCAGCAGGCCCAAAATGTGGTAATCAGATTGATTACCGAGGCCAGTCAACTTGATCACATAGCTGCAGCGTTGGTGAGCTTTCATTTACTCCCTGATAGTTTCTATGCTCAGTTCAAAGTATACTTATGATATATAAAGCCTTTAATTTCTCCTAGAAATCGGGTATCCATCCCACCTATTCCTATCAATCCATGTTGTTAAAAGTTGCTACACCAAGAGAGGCAAAAAAGATGAATGCAAGAAATTATGCCTTTTTGATTGTGACACCTAGTCTCTGGAATAAAATTCCAGTAGAGAGATGCCAGGTCATTTCACTCCTTGTGTTCAGAAATATGGTAAAGACTGAATTATTTAAAGCTGCTTTTGATACCTAATTTTATATTTTGAAATATTTAATCAGTTTGAACTTTTTTACAGAATTAGTCATATTTATTATTTAATTTATTGTCTGTCACACTGCTGCATTTTGGGGTTTGGGGGAATCATATTTTTGTTATTGTGGTGTATTGAGGGTTTTGTAAGTTAAACCTTGTATAAACTGCCCAGGGTAATGATTGTACTGTACTAATGGGGTGGCATATAAATTGAATAAACAAATTATCTCTTTTGATGAAGGTCATGCTTAGATTCTTTTTTTTTTTAAGGGTCTGGAACTTTGTGTTTTTGCTTTACATTTGGTTTGTTTGTGTTTCGGTCTATTTTTGGTCTTTTTTCCTTTTTTGCAAACATTGTTTTTGTCTCTATATGATTTACGTACAGTTAAAAATTTTTAAAACAAATTGCTTCCTCCTTAGAAGAAAGGAAGAGAAAACAGATCTGTATGCCTGCAACTGGGCAAGCATGACTATTTTCAAACTGTGGTGTGCACTATTACGTTTGGTCCATAGAAGAAATCTAATTTAATTGTTCAAGTTCCAATCTCTACTTGTCCAGCAACTATCTGTGACTTATGAAATTATTTTAATCTACCCTGCTGTAGATGCCTTTATCTAGAACAGGAAGCAAGATGGTGTCCCACTGCAGGCATTCCAGTTTGAAGCAGTGGTATTTGTTGTGTAGGAATTGTTGTGCAGTGACTCCTCCTGGTCCCGGGGTCACTATAGCAACAGCTCTGCAGGTAGCCAAGTTTGTGTGGTGTGGCCTGTTTCTGCTCCGTGTTGGATCCTGGCAGCAGGTATAAAGATCTTGAGAAGCATACCAGTTGGGTTGAAGGCAGTGACTGGCAGTCAGTGAGTAGAGTTTAAGGACCAAACAACAGGCCAAATCAATAACTGGATCTTCTGTTGCTTTCATTTTTAGTCATATGTCAGATTTTAACCAGGGCAGTAGTACTGGCATGAAAGGTTTAATCCTCTACCACAGCCCTGAAACACACTTTGTCAAAACTGTTAGTCTTATGGGGTGTGTGGAAGGAGAGGTCTTCTCATGAGAATATCCTCTGCTCACTTCTCCCAGGGAACAGACTGCATAGGTTTTGCCCCACCCGGTGCAAGGTGCTGTTGTTGTGGCAGTAAAAAGATCCTGAGGAAAAAGAGCCTGAGGTAACTGACATAGCTGTTGGAGTTCTGTGATGTAGTTGACTTTTTTTTTTACACTGGCTTGAGGACATCATGTAAAAGGCAACCACCATTTCCCCTTTTCGAAATATGTTTATCACATCTATTTTGGATTCAGGCACCACTTGTTCTGTGTTCCTTTGTGGTTTTCGAATTTCTTTAGGAATTGCTGGCTTCTTACAGCCATGTTCTTGCCGAATTTTGTATGTGGGCAGAATGTATAGAGGATGGCTCCATCCTGGCCGGTCTCCTCACCTGCAAAATTCCTAGTGTTACACATCCTTTTATCACACATCTGAACCAGTTGAATGGCAGAGTCTACCATATTGTTGGGCAGAATAATGCATGAGTCCAAAACTCCCTTTGGTAGATTAGCTATCTTCTCTGGGTACAAAGTGTGATGTAAACTTTCCTTGTAGTTTATGCCATTATCTATCTGTATATCAGGATCTTACTAGGGATCTAGTATGAGTGCAGTGTAGTAGACAGAGGGATGGACAAAGGCTCCAGAGACCTGTGCTCAAATCCGTGCTTGACAATGGAAACTCACTTGGAGGGGAGTGACTGATAAAACCACTCCTTAAATATCTCACTTACCTTGAAAGTCTTGTTAGGGCCAATATATGTCAGTTAGGACTTGATGCCATATAACAGTATAACTAATGGGTTAGGAGATATTTTAATAGGGTTTGAGTGTGAGATTGTTTTGCATGTCTCTGTAAGAACAACATCCTCCAGCATTCTTCTACAATTTTGGATGGGATCACCAAGCAGCAAAATGTTGGAATGTCAGTTCTTCTTTTCTATGGTCCTTTACTGGCAATACAACAATAAAGTAAACAGATCTCTCATGCACAGTTGAGTAATTGGTTAACAGTATTATAAAAGATGTTTCAATTAATTAGATTTTTTAAAAATGAGGCAGTAACTAGCAATAGAAGTACTTCCTACCAAAAGGGCTTGCAATGAGATACAAGCATTCCCGGTCGCCTGCTCTGTTCTTCTTTACAGCAGAGAACGCCTCTTCCTGTGAAGCATACAGAGTTGCAGCAGGCACCATTGAAACACAAAGCACACACTTCTAACTTCAGAACTGTATGCTTGTATGTGGATTTAATGATTCAGTGATTAATCAGTCGGTTAAACCCATGCCTATTTTTTTAATGGCAGCCCTAAAAGTATTGATAGACATTAAGAGGCAGATCATAATCTCCCAACACCAGAAGAAACATGAAATGAGTCTGATCACTTCTACTAAGAACCCATATTCTTAGCGCAGTAAAACATTTAGCATGCGATTTGGAAATGTGCAATTGTCATGTTTCAAAGTGACAGAAGTGAAGCCAATACTTCTGCTGATGGGTGTTCTTGACACTGAATGTTTATTCTGAATGTTTCACTTCCATGAACTGCATATTTTAAATATTATTCTTACAGATCAGGAGCATGATTTTTTTTTTCTTATGGGGTAGGCTGCATTTCTTGTAGAAAAATCTTTTGGAGACTAATGAATGAGACTAATCCCTACTTTCCATGTATCCCTTCTCTGTTTCTTCTACTGTTATGTATTTGTACTGTATGTGTACAGTCCATAAAGATTTCCCTTGGATGCCTTTTGACATTGTGGAGCTAACAGGATCTGCTGTTTCAGAGCATTCAACTCTTCAAGTTGGGAAAGAACCTCCCTGCCAGAGCAAGAATACTCTTAGAAGGAGTAGATGTAGGGGAGTCTTCTTTTCCTCCCCAGATGAGAGGCAGACACAGCCTGCTGGAAATGCTGCAGGCAAGAGGCTTGCCATGAGTTACAGAACCTGATTGATCATGTAGTGGCCAATTTGAAGCAACATCCAGTTTGAGTCCCAGCCCTCATCCCATGCCAGAATCACTGTCTAGAGCAGTCATTCTCAACAGGGGCCACATGGCTCCCTTGGGGGCCCTGGCACATTTGAAGAGGGCCACAGACTAGAAACAGTTCTTCACACACCACATTAATTACTAGGTTTGTTGTGCTACTTACACAGTGGTGCCTCGCTAGACAATGTTAATCCGTTCCATTGAAATTGCTGTCTTATGAAAACATCGTCTAGCGAAAAGCGTTTCCCCATTGGAATGCATTGAAACCTGTTCTATGCGTTCCAATGGGGAAAATAGTCGTCGTTTTGCGAAAATCGCCCATACAGAAGCCATGTTGCGAAACACCGATCAGCTGTTAAAATGGCTGTCCTGCAAAGCATCGGTCCTGAAAACACCCATTTTGCGAAGATCGCCCATAGGGAAACCATTTGGCGAAGCTGCCGATCAGCTGTAAAAATCAACGTCTTGCAAAAAACCGGTCTGCGAAGCACGGACCAAATCATCGTCCAGCGAAATCCCCCATAGGAAAAACCATTTTGTGAATAGCGATCACAAAAAGTCAACGTCTAGCGAAAAAACCATTTTGCGGGGTAATCGTCTTGCAAGGTACCACTGTACAATCCTGATTCCACCTGTATTTCTTTCATATTGTGTTTATGGCTGTAGCCCCAAAAAAGTTGAGAATGGCTGGTCTAGATAATAAATTAGCCCCTGACATCATAATCAGGAGAAATTGGATAGAGATGCATATATTTACTTAACTTTAGGTTTTGTTTTTTGTTTTGGTCTACTAAAAGAAGGAAGATGAGTGAAAGCAGTGGAAAATCAAGTCAACCCTTGGCTTCCAAGCAAGACAAGGATGTCTCTGAGAAGAGAGGACGAGGGCGGCCCAGGAAGCAGCCTCAGGTTTGTAGATACCTTGCTTTTTCATTGTCAAGGGAAGTTTTGGCAAGCAAACTGTGACAATTGCCTCTCTTTTGTTGTTGCTAGAAACAGCAAGGACATGATAAGCAAAGCACTTTGGTTTTGGTGCAAGCAAGGTTATTGTTGATACAGAATGACACTTCAGGATCAATAGGACATTTTTACAGAGTTAATGAAAGCAAGACATTGAGAAGAAGCACATTTTTCCCTGATGCTGCTAGTACTGTAGTTATATTAGGTTGACTATTTTCCATCTCTGGTAGTTGTTCTCTCCAGAGTAGCACCGAGGCACATTCTGAATCACTGAGAATCTTTTAGTGCTTTGGAAGCCTCAGAATGTTTATTGGCCTTGTTATGTGCAGAAATCATTTTGGGAACAAAAGGATATTTGACGTACCAGCAATTGATGTTTCCTACCCTTGTTTCTTCTTTGCCCCAACAGTTAACATTTGTTCTAGAATAATTAATTTTCTGATACCAGAGACAATGGAGTTACCTTGTAAAGCTGGTTTTAGCTGCAGAACCCCTTAAGGCCATGACTCACACTGCTATCATGTGATGCTCAGTGCTGACCTTCCGTGCTTTGATGTCATTATTTTCTTTGTCCCTCTTGACATTCTCTTTGTGATGATTTTTCTGATGGGGATTTGTTGATAGGTTTCAGTGCTGCCAGGAAGATGCTGGGGAAGGTGTCCCACACAAATGAGGATGGCTTATTTTCACTGATGAGCCAGGCTTCTCTTCTTCCTATGCTATAAGCAGCCCTTATTAACTCACATGAGCTGAGACAACTGCTAACTAGGTGCAGGCTGAACTCGCTACAGCTGAAAGAGATTCAGGGATGTTACATGGACCAACATGGTACAGGCAGACACTGCCCAGCAGGATGCTCTAAAATGGAGGACATACTACACTTTCTAACAGACTGTCCTTTGTACGCAAATCTGAGGGACCAATATCTAAAGCCCTTAACGGCTGGGATCAAGAACACTTCCCCTCTATGCACAGTCCTATTCCTGCTAGCTGGCACAAACTACTACTGTATATCCTATAGGGCTGCTAAATTTGTTAAATGAGCCATGGAAAGGTGGAACTGGCTGTCTGCTTCACAAGTTCTTCAAGCTACTCTCACATCTTTTAATTTTCCTTCTTTGAGAATGCTATTACATTTTATTACTATTATTTTATCCTTTTATGCCTTTTATACTTGTTTGTTGTACAGTACAGTACTTGCATGGGATGCCAAATGCTATTTTATGATTGGTTTAATTTGTGTTCTTGCGTATAGCCTGATTGTCTGCAAAGCAATAAAGTAGTCGTACTATTTGCTATAAGTAGGGAAAGGGACTTGGCCCAGTCTAGGAGCTGATTTTACTGGCACAAGAGAAGGTGCGCTTGGAGGGAGGAAGGGAGGAGGGAACCAACTCTTGAGAGCAAAGATTTAATGCCTGTAAGAAATTTGTTGCTGGAATTATTTGCTTATTTAACTTGTGTTGCTTTGAAGAAACAGAAAACAGATTATGAAGCCCTGTTAAATATATTTGGGTGGCAGTGCTCTTAACGATAGGGAAGGTGGAAGACAGCTGAAAAAGAAGAAAACCAAATGTGAGACGAATTGGTTCAATAAAAGAACCCCTGGCTAGAATTTTGGATGGGAGATAACTAGGGAATAATCCTGCTTGAACGCTTGAAGAGCAGCTGGGCTAAATGGATTGATGATTTTGACTCGGTGTGAGGCAGTGTCTCATGAGCTTAAGTTGTGCATCCTAAGCTATCTTCTAATTGCTTCAGAGCGCGGCCTTGAAATCAATCCTTGGTTTTCATCTTGCATTGGTGTGGACAATACAATACCATGAATATGCTGTTCGTAACATTGCAGGCTGTTAAATAGTTTGCCAAGACTCAGTTTCCTGCGCTGCTTGAAGTGAGGCTTGAGTGGTACATTTTCAGGCACACTATTTCAAATTCTGTGCCAGGGTTGTGGAACGTAGCTCGCCAATCGCTGGACACCAGCTCCCATCAGCTGAATCTAGCAGAGTCAATGGTGAGGAATGGAGTCCAGCAGCATCTGAAGGGCTGCCTCCTCCTCAGTCCTGATTATACATAGGTTACACTAAGAAACGTGGTGGCGCTGCGGGCTACACCGCAGAAGCCTGTGCTGCAGGGTCAGAAGACCAAGCAGTCGTAAGATCGAATCCACGCGACGGAGTAAGTGCCCGTCGCTTGTCCCAGCTCCCGCCAACCTAGCGGTTCGAAAGCATGCAAATGCAAGTAGATAAATAGGGACCACCTCGATGGGAAGGTAACAGCGTTCCGTGTCTAAGTCGCACTGGCCATGTGACCACGGAAAATTGTCTTCGGACAAACGCTGGCTCTATGGCTTGGAAACGGGGATGAGCACCGCCCCCTAGAGTCGAACACGACTGGACAAAAATTGTCAAGGGGAACCTTTACCTTAAACTTCTTGCCTCGACAGAGATTGGGAGTAGGCAGACATAGAATGTGACACTCAAAACTTGGTTTTATATCATTAAAAATATAAATTAGTACCAGACATTGCTCTGTAGCGATCTCCCCATGGCTATCATTTTTGCAAAAGTGTCTCCTTTGAGTGAGTAAGGTTTGGCAAGATTCCTCACTTTTTCCCACTGTGGCTTTTGCATGGAGATGTGGGGTGGGGAGCAGGATCTTATCCTACCCTGTCCTTGTGTGCGAGGCTGCACACACATTTATTTACTAGATTAATTTATTTAAAATATTTTACCCTACTTTTCTCTTTAAAAGGACCCATAAGTGCGTCCACTTCGTGTTCTCGTTAATTTCTGTTGCACTTTCTCTGCAGCAAGAACCCCATAAGTGTGTCCACTTCGTCTTCTTATTAACTTCTGTTGCACTTTCTCTGCAGCAAGAACCCAGTGAAGCACCACCCCCACCCAAGAGACCACGTGGCAGGCCGAAGGGGAGTAAAAACAAGGCCACCTCAAAGGGAAGGGTAAGTGTAAGTATATATTCTGGGGGCTGGGCAGTGAGTCTGAAATCTTCTCAAGCCATGTATGTTTTTTTTTAAAAATCCAAAAAATTACTGCCTGATTGGAAATGATTGTAAGACTGCAAAAATCCCTTTTTTTTGAATGAACCAGCCAAAGGCAGTGGCATTTTCCTTACTTTGGGTTTATTGGAACTTTTTCCCAAAGACTTTATAAAAAACAGAGAAAAGGGAAACCTGATGCTTTTCAACAAATCCCAAGATACCCCAACCAGCCAGACCAGTTAGGACACACTAACAATAATAAAGTGGCGGGCTTTGGTTCACATAAAATAATTGTGACATAATTCTTTATTTGGATTTTCTTTTTCCACATGGATCAACACAACTTTTTTTGTTGATTTTTCTAAAGTCAGAAAAAAAATTATCTTACTCTGTTTGTGCAGTTTGGTCTGAAATCAGATGCCAAGAGCAAAATGAGATATTACAAGGCTTTTCCAAAGCTGTTTCCCCCCCTCCCCCATGCAACATTGAGATATGGGAGCTTGGGAACACTTTGCAGGCAGAATCAGCAGTTGGGAATACTTCATCTTTCAGTGGGGCAGGAAACAATTTGAAGGGCCAAATTGGACTCCTTCTTCATATGTTCTGTTGTCTGAACAAATTTAGTGAGCGGAGACTAGACCACCACATATTTGCTGAGTCTTTAATTTGGCCTTGTATGAATCCTGAAAAGTGATGATTGTGCCAAAAACCCCTCCTATTTTTTAAAGTGAACTGGAAAGGAAAAGAGAAGGCCCACAAATAGCCAAATTGATGCTGCTCTGTGCAGAAGCAATATGAAGTAATGGGGCAACTAGTGACATTTGCTTTGTGTGTGTGTATGTTCGGACAGTGGAAGTTTGAATGGCTGTAAAAAAGAAAAAAGCATACGCTCTCTTCAGCCATAGAGGAGAACGATGGGAACTTCTTAGGAAAATAGATTAGTTTGGATCATGGTTTCCCTTTCCATCCCAATTTTGGGGACCTTTAACTCCTGTCCCTTCTGTTTTTGCTTGATTATACTGCACAGCATATACCAGATCATTCGTGGTAGAGAACGAAGGCTTGTGCTTTTGGGTGCCATGTGGCTGAAACTGGGAGGTATTGAGAGAGACAGTAAGTAGTAAATAAGTGATCCCACAGTTGATGGCTTGGCAGCTGTCTGTATGAAGTAAAAACAGTGGATCAATTCAGAAATAGTATACTATTCTTTGCATCTGTCCACCTCCCCTAGTAGCCACCAAGAAGGAATTTTCAAATGTCCCAGCTGCTTTAAAACAGCAGATGCTTGGTTCTGAATTTGCAGCCAAGCAGCAGAGGCTATTTCTGTGGCCACTTTGGTTTAGCCTTTTATTCTGTTCAGGAAATAAAATGCAAAGGCAAGAGAGTGCCCAGCAAGTTCTGGACATACCGTGTTTCCCCGAAAATAAGACAGGGTCTTATATTAATTTTTGCTCCAAAAATGCATTAGGGCTTATTTTCAGGGAATGTTATTTTTTTTTTAATGTTACAACAATCTACATTTATACAGTCATGTCATCTTCTTCTAGTTGCTGCACAAGGGTGGAGGGCGGGGTTTCACTTAATTGGGGCTTATTTTTAGGGTACGGTGTATATTCCGAGCATCCTGAAAAATCATACTAGGGCTTATTTTCAGGTTAGGTCTTATTTTCAGGGAACCAGGGTCGTTGTTCCTTTTTGTCATGCACCTGGTTCCTTGCAGCTGCTGTGTTGTCTGCTTCCTTCTACTCTTGGGCTTTGTCAACCCCAGCTGTTCCACAGGCAGTTGGTTCAATTGAAAATTCAAGGAGTTACGGATGTAAGTCCTGTTCTGAGCTCCAGGATAATTCTAATACAAAGTTTTCTTTGTGAATTGGGGAAGTCATGTCGCAAAACTGCTTGAGGGAGATGCATGTCTCAGTTGTTCAGTAACTGGTATCCCCACCTGTGGACCACTTTACCAACACAGAACCATTTGGTCCCGATGCTCCAGTGGTTTCCTGCATTTCCTTGTAAGAATGCTTGTGTTGTTCCATAAAAGGCAGGGAGGGAATCCGGCTTTCCTTTTGGAGCAGTGTTACAACACAGCAGCTGCTACACTGGATGTAGCAAACTTGGGTATCTTCTGCAGTAAGGTGTTTGGTTATTCTGATGGCCTTTCTTTCATTAAGGATGTGTTCTAAAACCTTTCCCTACAATGACTTTCTTGTTATATCCCTAAACCATTTTGTTTGGAAGGGAGGTATCATGGAAATGATGCATGAGGTCTTCCAGAAGCCCTCTCTCTACTACAGTGGGGTCTTGACTTGAGAACTTAATCCGTATTGGAAGGTGGTTTTCAAGTCA